TTGATTTTGTGACGACACTTGATTGGATATAAAATTGTGGTATGATATGACTAACACGAAATACTTTTGGTCAAACACCATAATAATTTGGCCATTTGGGATTGAGTTAATATTGAAAGCATATTAAGATTTTTTTAAATAAATAAATGACAGAAAACCCGTTTATAACAAAAAGGTAATATTTTTCCTTGAGGAAACTACTGCAACAATCTACAATATTTTTTATACACTGAGAATAATAAAATTTATGCTATACAATGATATTAATTAAATATTAAACAATAACACACACATTGCTCAGATCCCAAGGTGAGCAGATAAAGCACTCCTATTATGGAGTATCTTAGATAACGAAGGTACCACAACATCCAGACGCGAGACAATATATAAACGTCCATTTTCTACCTACCGGGATTCGAACACGGGACTAGGGAGAATGTCAAATTGTAGTAACCTGAAGGATGCCTTTTCATAATCGATTTTTACTTTAATTGATTATTGATTAATTTATTTCGGTCCCTAGTAGGTATATAATTAAAATGGACAATTTCAAACATCACTGTGGTTTATGAACTATACTTATATTTTTATACGAGGAAAGAAACTGGAAAAACTAGCTACCTCAAAATGGCTGCTCACAAAACATAAAAGGGAGGCTGACTCTTATTTTTGCGCCATTTGAACATAGTACTTGCACTTTACACACAAGATTTGTTTAAGGAAAAAGAGTCTAATAAGTTTATAATGATGTTTTGTGTGATTTTATTTGCAGTTTTCGGTAAGTTAAAAATTCGATTTTCTTTTCGGTTAATGATTAATGATTGAAGTAGTAGTAAAACGATAATTGGACAAGGAGCAGCTAATACAATAAATACTGACTGAATTAGTGGAAAATATTGCTAGGCATCGTAAAGGTCCTATCCCGATGAAGATCGGAGTGTAGGCGAACTTCGCACGATCATCTTATTGGTCAATAAATCTGACCGACCAATAAAAGCGAGAAATAGAAATTGCTAACGCGCATGTCATCAACCATTGTAATCCTTTCAACTTTCATTAAAGACGCGAGAAAAGTATACCAGTAAGAGCGCTGGTGGTTTTGTAAAAAAGACCTATTTCAGGCACCAGCTATTCACAGCAGTGGCGGACTTAAGGGAGGACGGAGGGGGCGGTCCGCCCTGGAACTCTTGTCCTCTTCTCCAAATGACTGCAAGTTTCCGTTTCCTTGATTAAATCATAAATTGGGGTTGTACTGCCTTATCTTTCTTATGACCAGCTGTAGCAGGGAGGCCACAGTAAAAAAGCCACTTTAAAATGAAAATTGTAATATTTATATATTTCTGAACTTAAAGGAAAATAAATACAAAAGGAATTCAATTAACATAATGCAAATTAATTACAATGCAAGTAAACAATTTATCCTCTTATTAATAGTGAGTATTTACTTATAATGAAACCGGGAGATTGTATAGACCATTTAATAATGACGTTAAAAAGAAATTTAGAGCATTAACTTTATCTGAATATCGTTTTTTATTAACCCTTAAATGCATGATTTTTTTGATTTCAATGAAATAAATATATTGTATTGAGGGTTAAGTGTATTTTCATGGAAAAATAGAAAAAAAAATAAAAATGAATATTTTCATGTTTTTTTTATTAATAAAAGGTATGTATCAAAAATGATACACTATGCATTATTGACCAAAATATTATTACGTTTTTAGTATTAGTAATTAGTAAAAAAGTATGGTGATACAAGTATATAATATCAATTTTAGCCAATAATTACGTTTAATTACTGTGAAACAATAAAAAACAGTTAGAATTCTTTTTAGAGCATAAGAATATGTCGCATTTTGAGCATTTAATGTAACTCAAAAGGTTACATTCTGGATACTGACAACGCCTTCTCTTGTCCGTTCTAATTTGATCGTGCCCAATTCTATCCAATCGTACGTCTTTAGCAGGCATAGGTGGTAAGCGGGCACTCGTTTTCTTTTTGCTGATAGCATCTTCAATGCTTGAACTGGGTCTTCCCCTTTTATTTTCTCGTGGCGCTCCATACTTGCAAAGCGCTTCGGCCTAGTCCGCGCGGAATTCTGATAACTCCATAAGAGTTTTAGGGTTGACTCCCTTCTGTTTGTTGACTTTTAGATAAAGGACCCAAGAATTAATTATAGTAATATCCAGTAGATGGTAAAAAATTCTCAAATACCATTTTCTAGTCTTCATATGGTTGCGCCCTTATCGCCCTAAGAAACTGTCCATAAGATCGACACCATCCATGTGTGAATTATACTCTCTTATAACTCTTGGACATGGAATAGGCACTCGTCTTTTTTCTTTTTTGTCGTATCTCTCAATAGTTTCTACTGGCTCAGCTCCAACATATGTGGACAACAGTATGACCTGTTTATTATCTTTCCAGCTCACAGCAGTGACTGGGGTTCCCTCATAGGTAGACACATTCTCCACGTAATGTCCCCTCGGTATGTCGTTTTTCATAATTTCCGTTTTATGTGGTAGTTTACAATTTTTGCCCGGTCTATTTCGTTGGACAGTGCCGAGGCAGTAAATACCTTGCTGAGCGAAATAATGCATAAGAAGTAAGTTGGTATAAAAATTATCGAAGTAGATAATATGATTGCGATTTCTCGGCACTCCTCGTGTAAGTCTCACCACAGTATCAGAAACTGCACCAAGTTCAGGCTCAGTTGGAAGACGATCATGGATTATTTTTCCTGAATATATTTCAAACTGATAAGCAAATCCTTGTAAGCAACATAAAACAAATAATTTGAAGCCCCATTTATGAGGTTTGTTCGGCAAATATTGTTTCAAAAAGTGGCCCATCTTAGTAGCACACATCTGTTCATCTAGTGATAATCTTTGTTCGAAAGGCAAAGAACCAAATTTTTCATTTAGGTGATCGATAACGGGTCTTAATTTATGCAATCTATCGTGGTTGGGGTGGCCTGTGGGCAAATGCTTATCATTATCATTAAAATGCAGGAAACTCCTTATCTTCTCAAATCTGTTTAGTGGCATTGTTTCTGCTATAGGGGTGAAAGAATGTTTCGTATTCCATTATGAACGTATACTTGGGTATCGAAAGACAGACATATATGTGAGAATCCCAAAATATTGTCGCAATTCGGTAATAGTAATAATCTCTGGCCGAGATGGATTTTTTTGAACACTATATTGATTGCTTTCTTGTACTATACTTTCCAAAAATTCTGTGTTAAAAAAGTAGGAGAAAAACTGGAATGGTGTTTCTAAATTAGCAATGTCAGATGAAAAAGGATTATTGTCTTCAAATTTAATTTTATTCTCGTCAAATTGAAATTTTTGGGTTTTCCATATAATTTGTCGGACGTTACGACTTGTAGCAGTCGTAGCTGGAGTACTTGCAGAAGGAGTTGGGCCGGGTCCATCATCGTATACTTTAGGGGGATCTGAGCTATCCTCATTACCTGTATCCTCATGTATTGACGAACCTTCCTCTAATACATGTTGGAGCTGTTCTCTCGTAGGATAGAAGTCCATCAAATCATCTCCTTCCGACTCATAATCATCGTCGGATATATCCCCCGCTTCCAACCTCCGAAGTATACCTTCTATCTCATTGTCTTTGCAGTTTTTAGGCGACATCGCTGTAAAAAACATATAAAAACATGCAACCACCACCAAATTGCCGCACAAAACAATATAAGAATATTTATGCCGTTAGTGCATAATGTATCATTTTTGAAACGATACATTTTTAGGGAAAAAACATGTTGAATCAAAGATATTAGTAAAAAGTAAACACATAAACAGAAAATATGATTACTTACCGATACAATATATTTTATTTGCAGAGAAAACTTCAATTTAAATATTTTTTATCACTATTGATATTTCGACAAATTTGCCGGTCGCGCCAACGTTTGTACGTAGTTCGAAAATGACGTTTCAATTTCGCGCGTTATGAAAACAACTGCCGTTTTTAAATATTCATAAGAACGTATGGGTCTAAGGAATCTACTCCGATACAGCCAAATCAAAATTTATGAATATGTACGTTTATAGACGACCTTAAAGTTGACGTTTCATTTTTGATACGCTATGCATTTAAGGGTATAAACAATTGATTTTAAAATTACTCGATGGTGACTTTTCTTACCTTGTCACTCACACAGCGCTTACAGCTTTTTTTCATTTTGAATTCAATAGTACCTACAGTATTGGCCCTATAACAAACTATACAATATTATACAGTTCTTATGAATTTACAGCTTATGTTTTGTTTTTTTTAGTTGCAGCAATAGCGCAACAAACTGAATCAAAGAAGTAAGTAGATTCGTTTTTAATAATTGATAGTTCCTTTAAATATTTTAAAATAGTAAAACAGTGGGTAGTGATTTAGTTACTCGCAAAATGATCCTTCATATAATAGACATCCTGACTCCCATAATTACCAAGATCCTTAATACCTCAATTTTGACGAAGATTTTCCTTGGTCTTGGAAAGACTCAAACGTTATTCCTCTTCCGAAACAGTCGAACCTCGTTTTCTGAATATCAATCTTTCCATTTCTTTCCAAAGTCCTTGAAAAACTTATAAACCAGCAATTAATGGCCTTTCTCAATTCAAATCACCTTCTTAATCCGTTTCAATCTGGTTTCCATTGTACTGCTACTGCACTGGTTAAGATTACTGATGACATTTGGCGGGGAATGGAAAATCGCCAGCTTACGTTGCTAGATTTAGGTAACTCGGTTGATTTTGACAATCTTCTCAGTGTATTGGCTTCTCTCAATATATCACAAGCTAGGACCTTACCTCCCAAGCAGGGGCGTATTTAAAGATTGCGCGCTCCGGGCTCCTGTAGCTTTCCGCCCCATCAAGGAATGAAAGGAAACAAAAAAAAAATTATCGATTTTATATTTTACATTTTTTTTCTGTGGACAAAATTTTTAACAAATTCGTTTATTACATCGTCATAATCAATTTTATTTGTTAAATCGGCTTCGATGATTCAAAATTGCCAAATTATTAAGCCGTTCTTCGATAAGACGCGATCTTAAATAGTTTTTTATCCGTTTGAGTACCGAAAATGAGCGTTCTGCACTACAATTCGTTACTGCAGTACAAAGAAATATGCGCAACGCAATTTCAATGTAAGGAAACGCCACTTTCAGATCCTTTTTATTAATTAATAAGTTTAGTTCGCGTAAACTTGTTTTAGTTTCTTGTCCCTGAGACGGCAAAAAATTCTTTAATAGTATGCATTCATCCTTTAAATCATCCGCAAGATCAGTAGGATAAGACTTTTGGAGTGATAATGCGTTCAATTTAATTTCCGCCTCAGATAGTGTACTTAAATTGGATAGAAATACAAATTTGGCGGTTACAGCGTCATAGGATGTTTTACGCCTCCTTAACTCGCCCAACAGTTGGTCGCATATTGGCAAAAAAGTATTCACTTTAAAATAGTCCCGTCCTTGTAAAATTACTTCTCCTTCGCGTTGCTCATCGTCTCGTTTTTTTCTTTTTGTTATCCTTTTCCGGCTATCTTTGTAATCTTCAGTACACTTTTCTTTTCCAGCTTTTTCAAATGCATCGAATAATTCGCGTTGATTTTTCACAAAAGTAATCAGGGAATCGTAAAGGTTGGAGACTACCTCAACGTTTGTGTCCACACCTTGCAAAACTTTAGAAACGGTATTAAATTGTTTTAGGACTGATCCCCAGAATTCCGATAATATCGCTGTTTCTAAGGAATTCAGTTGAGCCAATAAACCTGTAGCTTCATTTTTGATTAAGGCTTTTTGTTGCGAAGAGTTACTTTTTATTGCTTCCAGAGCTTTAATTATTTGTTCCCAATTTTTATTCAGGCTCGAGCAAGCATCATCTCTTGCCGACCACCGCGTATGTGACAAAATTTTAACGGTTACATTTTCAGGTTCCGTTAAAAATGTTTGCAATATTTTTGTACGTTCCGTTGATCCTGTAAAAAATACGTACAGATTTTGCAATACTTCAAAAAATGGCCACCGTTGGCGCCTGCGCGGCGTGACCCCGCCCCGCCGGCTCTACCCCTCTATCTCTCTCTACGAAAACAAAGCGCCTACCATACCTAGATGAACGTTGTGATAGATTTGCATACTAATTGATATCTTCCGAACATACGAAAACTTTATTATTTTTCTAGATAGACTAGTACAGTCAAGTGCAGATCAACCTGTACAGTTTTGTTGCAATATCGCCTTTAAACCAATGGAACAAGGTGCCCCAATGTAAAGCTTACTCTGCCCTTGACCCTGTACATTTTAGAACTTCTAGAAATTAGCTTGCGCAGGGCGACTTAGGCTCAATACTAAAATTATTTTTTTTTGGCTTCAGACTTGCTTCAGACATAAAATAAAAAAACCGAGGCGGAAAAAAATAGACGGTTCAACCGGTTCAGGAAAGAACAAGGGGCGGCTTGCATACTTCAATTAATTTCGAATTTCTCCAGACATGAAATCCACGCACATCACAAGGGGCGGCTTTCATACTTTAATTGAATTTCAAATTTCTTCAGACATTAAATCAACATGTGGAAAGGTGGCTCAGGGGCGTTCTAGGCTTAAGTCTGAAAATATTTTTTGTATTTTTTCAAACGTCCAAACCAAAGCCCTAGCCCTGGGCCGCCCCTCGCGGCCTGCCGCCCCGGGCTATAGCCCTTCTGGCCCTAGGGTAAATACACCCCTGCTCCCAAGTAACACATAGAAGCAGTATAACGGCCGACTTACAGCATTTCTGTATCGTTTTAGCATTTTATATTAGTTTTACAGTAGCCGTATAAACGTTTATACGGCTACCGTAATGCTTATTTGGGCACAAATTAAAAAGCTTTAGATCCTAAATGGGTTCACAATAGTTGCTTAATTGCATTACAGGCGCATTTTATTAGCATTATTATGGTCAAGGAAGCTACCAATCGCATTATAAAAACATTATAAAGGTCAAACAGTCGCTAATCGCATTACAGAAGCATTATGCTAGCAATATTATTGATAATTAAGATGTTAATTGCATTACAAAAGCATTATGCTAGCATTAAAACGTAGTAGAAGCATGATTATAACTATTTAAGTGTTCACAGTTAGAATTTAAATAAACCCTACATCATTGCAAAAACGCCTTTAATAAGTGGGACTTAATGTTATAATAAAAAAACGTTGTATTTTACTTTAACTCCCTAAAAACAAAACTGAGTGAAGTGCTATTTGGGAATTCAGAAAACTAAATATATAACACTGGGTAAGTTTTTGACTTTTTTGTTATTTCTCACCTTCAAATATTACTGCGCAGTGTAGTTTAGTGTAATTGTCTATATAAGTTTCATTGAAAATTTTCACGCGCCTTTGATATTTTGTGGTTTTCATATTAAATGTTATTTAAAGATATGTATTTAAAACCAAAACAAATTGTGAGTTCCTAATATAGAATGAATTTTGCATAATTAACCTTATATTATTGGTTGGGCAGTATTAAATTAAGTTGTTTAGTTATGATATAGGCTTATTTCTTTTTAAATCAGCCCGAATGATAATATTTATTGGGTATAAAATATTTACAAAATGGTGTCGAATTTATAGCAGCCCGGTGAGTCTTTAAAAAGACAAATTAATGCTGCCAGCAGTATAAATATCCACGCGTGAACAATTACTAAGCCATTGGCTAAAGATAAGACATTAGATGAACCACTGCAGTGCCATTGTATATAAAGTAGTCCTATGTGGGTTCACCTGTATACCAATAGACTTCATGTAGACTGAAATAGTGCCATTACTTGAACCCAATTTTGGGGGTTCTTAAGCAAAACAATAAAACCTGTTTGCTGTTCTTGAAACTTGAATCTGTTTGCTATGAGTTATCAAAATACTTTCTGAACGTATTATATAAATAAATATTCTTCCGCGTATCTTATTGAAATGCATTGAGTTATTATTAAATAACTAGACTCAACTCAACGATTGGAATAAGAAAATATAGCAAAAACAGGAAATAAAAAAATACACCATACATATGCGCAAGCGGTACGTTATGTTGCCAGCGCAGCGATTTACGTTTTATCCTATCGGGTGCTGCCTAACTAAAATCCAACATTATTTTAATAAAACATTATTTTCAGTAGTTCTGTTTTGCTTCATCTGTCTAATATACATAAATTTATAGTAAAATGATTTCATACATAGCGTATATTGCGTACAGTGGCATCAATTGAAAGCTAGAAACACTAAACAAATTAAGTTTCAGTGTTAATTAAAGTACCTAGATGGCGCTTCTTTCTTTTTTCCTTGGTTTTTTTACTAGCAACTATCACCCCTCTGATTCAGTACCTAACTGACTCGCATAACTGAAGGTTGTGCTCGTGCGTGTCTTTTGCCATACGTGATTCAGTTTTTTTTTTTTATCTTTTTTTATGGGTAACGTTTTTTGATAATTTTAATTTTTCTTATTTTCAGTCAATATTGTACTAACCAACATGCCGTACAAAACAGACAAAAGAGAGAGGGAGAGCAACACTAGTCATTGTACCTTATATGTGGGAGGAAAATGGTGAATTATGGTGGTAAAGATGAGCGATCCAAACCCGATAAAAAAGAATGGAGATTAATGTCCTGCATTTTGAAAAGGAACAATATTCCAACATATGAGCTTGCCGATGCTGAATCATCAATAATGGAAGAAAATTCAGACACAGACGCGAATGATGTATTGATAGGTCCACCTACTTTTTCGTACTTAGAAGGTGACGATAACTGTAAAATATTTGTTATTTAAATAATTTAAAATAGAAAACTTAAGTAATTATGATAAAGTTTTTTATTGGTACGTATGCAATAATGGTATGAAGTATAAGTATTCACGATGATGCAAACATACTAATTTACATAGTAGATCTTTAGGATCAAGGACAATATCAGAATTACTACCATAATTTTTTACTTTGTAAATGTGTAAATGTGAAGATTTTATGGGATACGTAAATACATCATCTTTATTACTCATTTTTATGCCTTTTATACGAATTCCAGTAGGTCCTTCAACTATATTATTTATTTCGACTATGTCGTTAACTGTTGTCAATACATATCTGTCTTTTGTTTTTGAGGAAACTGCATATTGTTTTAAATGAAGTAATCTACGATCATTCTTATTTGCCTTTAGAAACGGATAATCCAGTTTTTCACTCAACTCAGGATTTAGAATACTAAACTCTGTCGTGGCTTCAATTATTCTGTTTGCTATTTGTGATAGCGGATTTTTTCCATTTCTTAGTAATCGTTTGATACTGTATAGCTCATTCTCAAATGGATAAGCACTGAAAGAGTGTAACGGTCCAAATCGTTCAACCTCTGCAGTGATGTGTATTAAATTGTGAACGTTACTTGTAACGTAGTCCGCTCCATAAAAGTCTTTGTAATGCTTGACAAAATCCTCTAGTATTTATTTAGCTAATGGCAGCAAATACAGAAGACGTTCAGTTGAACAAATTGTAACACCACAGTACAACTTCAGAAAGTGTGAAAATACGTCGCTTGTAAGTACATCTGGCAGTATAATAATACTGAGATAGAACAAAAAAGTTCTATATTCAGATCCTTTCCAAAACGCCAGATGCTCCAGACCTCGCACTGCTCGATGAATTTCAGATGGCAACTTGCACTTGTTTAAGAAATTTGTTACTACATCAATATCTTTAGCACGCCATTTTGTTAAAAATTTACCGAAATTACCATCACGCCATGCAACTAGTAGCCTCTTCATAATTCCTAGATCAATTAAATGCAATGAATCACCTACTGGAAAATCCTTAACCAAATCTATTGGAAGATTTAGCAATGGAGAATCATTCTTATGATGCGCCCCATAAAGCTTATTTCGGAAACCATCATTTGTTCTCTCGGAACAAATTGTATCCGGAAAAGTAACTGTGTGTGAATTGTGAGAATATTCACCAACAGTAACACACTTCATGCAGCCGTGTTTTCCATGGAAGTTACAAACACCTGAAAAATATATTCTCAGATACAATAATTGTTAAAAGAAAAAATCTCGCATTTTGATATTGACTAGCTCGATCGCTCAGTGGATAATGACCCTGTCCTATGAACTATAAACCAGGAGTCCTGGTTTCGATTCCCACCCAGGAAAAATATTCATGTGATGAACATTTGTGGTTGGTTCTGTGTCTGGATGTTAGCAACGTCGTGGTCTAGAGGCAGTGACACCGCTGTTAGACCAAGAGGTGGCGGGTTCGAATCCCGCACAGTACAAATATTTGTGTTCATGAACTGACTACGTGTCCGAAGCCTTTATTGCCGTTGTTAGACTATAAATAGACTATAAATCAGTGCAACGATAGCGACTGCAGCCATAAAGTCTCTCTTGATTTGGGACTATCACAAAAAAATTAAAGAACAGGCGGTAAAATCAAATCAAAATATTCTTTATTCATGAAGGCTTCAACGATGCACTTATGAATCGTCATTTTAAAAATCTACCACCGGATTCGAAAGGGGCAGTTTCCTAACCGAAAAAATTAAGGACACTTACCTTTTATGAAAGCTCTAGCAGGTGAGTCACAAACAAAACATCTGATCTTTATTGTAATTTTCTTTTCACAATTTTGCGATAGTGTGATTCCCTCATCTAATAAATGATTAACTTCAGCGATAAAATCTTCTAAATAAGTTGTTAAATTTTTAGGTTTTCCAATTCCATAATATATCCCAATTACTAAAGGTTTAATGTTAGTATTTTCAGAAATGTTGCACAGTATTGGCCAAAATTCTTTCTTCGAGCTTTTAAAAATTGGCAAACCGTCAAAATTTAAATTTAAAGATATGCTATCAGGTACATCTGTCCAGTTTTCCAACAGCAATATTAAATTGTGAGTGATTCCATTATGCCAATATTCGCCTCCTTCAATTTTTTTTATATTGGCAAACCTAGGTGTTTTTACAATGGTCCTTGGATCCATAGGTAATATTTTCGGAATTAATCCATTCATAATTTTCGCGAGATCTTTTAACGCTGTCTGATTAATATTCTTTTCGATTGCCCATCTTCTTATATTTTCACGAAATGAAGAACATTTTACATATTTATCAATATCACTGTCATCTTCACTTTCTTCGGAGCTCTGAGGTCTATCATTTTCAGAAAAATAAAGTGGACTAGAATGAACACGATTTTGTTGAGTATTCTCATTCACAATATTTTTTTGTAAACACGAGAATGTCGTATCCTGTTTATTTTCAGATCCTACTTGACCTACGGAACCTTCTTTTTTATTGTCACAACTTACTTCGCCTAAATCTTTTTGTCGTGTATTGGTAGAATTAGAAGACATAATTCTAGCATGTTCTTTTGATATTTTTCGCCTGATTCCTCCGGTTCTTGCTCTTATTTTGAATGACTTTTTCAACATTTTGCAGAATAAAACGCTACAGATACAGTATATTTCGCACCACAATAAGTCACAAAATGAATTGATAGAGCCTGTTAGCTGTACTACAAAATACATGTTGTTTTTTTTTAAATGAAAGCATTACATTGATTCACGTTTTTGCTTTTTAGCAGTTCTGGGCTTTTACTGACCAGTTAAAAATGCTATTACATAACTTATTGCACAGAAAACATCTTAAAGCTGTATACGATTTTACATTGCATTATAATGGTACGAATTTTTGCTATTTAGCAGAATTAGGCATTATCTTACTACTTAAAAATGTTATTGTAGACCCTAAGGCACTGAAAATAGCTTAAAACTGAATAGCGGATATACGTGGCATTATTATGATTCATATTTAGACTATTTAATAGCATTAAGCATATATTAACTAATTAAACATGCTATTGTAAAACCAAATGCACTTTAAACATCTGAAAGCCTTACAGCTGCATTGTGATTTGCTGCCCTAAAACCAAGGGCTTTACAAAAGCATTCTAATTTGCCGTTATGCAACCGTTACTCAGTGAAAAGCATCATAAAGGTTTTGAAATGCCAATATAAAGTATCAAGTCGGTCGGTGAACTTATATAAGAGTTTCTACGGACTTTAAGTTTTAATAAGTTTAGTTGATCGTTCGTTAAAAAGCTTCCTGTGTTACTTGGGCTGCTAGCACGTCGACAGCGTGTCCGTGGTGCGATATTAAAATTTACACTCAAGCACCCTTGTCGCATATTTCTGAGGCAGTATCGGTTGTCAACTCAGACCTGATTCTTATAAGTAATTGGAGTAATCATATGGTCTTACCGTTTACCCGTCTAATGCAGTCCCTTATTCTAAAACATTAAAGTCTCACTTGGAAACCACAGGTAAGGGCCGTTAGAAAGAAGATATTTGCCACATACGGATCACATAGTCGTTTGCGCAAATTCCTGCCTACTCGAACCAAGGTCTCTTTGGCGCATTCTCTACTTTTATCCATTATCGATTATACTGATGTCTGTTATATGGATTTGTCGGAAGAACTTCTCAATAAATTAGAGCGCCTACAGTATGTTTGCATCAGATTCATTTTCAATCTCCGTAAATTTGACCAAGTGTCGCATTTCCGTTCCAAACTCAACTGGCTCCCATTTCCCCAGCGCAGGGACTTACATACTCTAAAGCTTCTCTACTCTATTCTTTTCTTTCCCTCTTCTCCATCTTATCTCAAACAGTGCTTCCCTTTCCGTTCTTCTTTATTCCAGTGTGCCTTGCGATCCTCATCTAATCTTGCCTTGGACATTCCTCGTCATTCTACCGATTTTTTCTCCTATTCCTTTTCTGTACATGCTGTGCTGTTATGGAACTCACTTTCGGAGGATGTAAGGAAAATCTCACTCACTAAGTTCTTTCAGCGATAGAGTTCAGAGCCCTTTCCTTTCCTTATCTTAATTCTATCTTCTTATATATAGTTTTTATTATGATATATCATATGTCCCTCCTATTGTTGCACCCGATACCCCATATAATCTTTATCCTTTTTATTTTTGTCCTCCATTGGTTGCCTGGAAGAGATTGCTGCTTAACAATAAGGCCGCCTTTTGCATACTTTTTTGTGATTCTCTGTAACTTGTTTTTGTTTTTGTTCTGTTATATGCAATAAAGTATATTATTATTATGAAATAAATACCTAAGCAATCTATAATTTTTCAGACTAGCTACTAATGATTCTTGTACGCTTCCACCATATCCCAAGAATGGAAATTACATTGCTGTAGATAATCCAAAAGCAGAACCAGGACAAGCATTTGACAATGTAGTACTCAATATAACCTGTAACACTGGTTATTTAGTTAAGAGCAAAGACAAGAGTCAAATATTTTGTATTAATGGTATATGGTCTGAGCAGATAACTGACTGTAGTCGTGAGTATTAAATATATATTAATCATAATTGAGATTTCGCTTCCACTGGAATCTTATTTCGGTCTCATTTTCTTTATACAGTGTGGTCTGTTATGTAGATAAATTAATACAGATTATAGCTGCACACTATTACAATTCTTTTTTAACCTTCTTGTAAAGGAGGATTAAGTATTTTCAGATAACGCAAATATTGGAAATAAATAAATACCATTCGTTAATAAATCGTTTTGATAGGTTCATGTCGCCTCCAAAAAGACCCTACCGTCAAGTACACTTGTCTTCTGAAAGATATAAATCACAGGAGAGAGTGTACAGATCAAGAACCTGAAGGTACCGTGATCCAGCCTGTGTGCAATCTTGGGTATTATACATCCACACCTCTGCCACAAATGAGGTGCATTGCTGGTAGCTGGAATTACCCAGCAAAGTGCATACCAGGTATTATAAACACGAAATATAATAAATATATGTATGAAAAATAAATCAACTATGTAGCTAATGCCGGAAACAATGTATTATGTAATTTTTTTACAACCAAAGACCTAGTAACTACTGTCACATATAAATTATTTCTTGTAACTGATAGTTGATATTTATATTTAATATATTTCTGTTTAAAAGCAAATTATAATAAATAAATAAAAAGACTATCTGATATTATTTAATTATATCAATTTAAACAAGCAAGCAGGTCGCTTCATGATTGTGTTTCGTCTTACAATATAATACTTACGGGGAACGGCTCACTATCAAGTTTCTTCCGCGATTGGAAAAAAATGTAAATACTAGCTAGTTATGTAATGTAGCAAAGTTAAAATGTTTCAGAATGCGGTCGGCTACCATTAAAACCCGAAAATTTGATCCTTAATGGTCCTGCGGAAGAGCGCATTCCTTGGAACGCCGCCATATACCGGAAACCTTCAAAAACCCATATCTGTGGAGGCACACTGGTCAGCCCTAATGTCGTCATATCCGGTATGTCAAATATTTTTGATTTACTAATCGATAAGATTTAGATAATTATAAATATTTTTAAAACCTTTATTACCTTTTGAAGTAGGTTTTATTTGCTTGAATATCTATGCTATGACAACGCTGTGCTTGGTGTCTTGGCGTATAGTATTGTAGCCCATTAGTGGTAACAGTTTCTATTAAGGTGGGATTACACTTGGGTAGGTATAAATTACAGAATTAACCGTTTCAGCTGGTCACTGTTTTTGGAACACACATCGCAACAAACCAGAAAGCCCGGACCGTTACATTGTGTCACTAGGCAAACAGTACCGCAGTTTTGATGATCCCAGAGATATGAACTCTCAGACGACGGATGTAAGTTTCTTTAATCGAATTATAAAACACCAGCCAAATGCGTAGTCTCCCACGGGTACTGAGAGCTATATATGAATATTAAATATTTAAAATCATAGACTTCTTTTAGTTTTCTATTTTGAAAATAAACTTTTTATCGATAAGTTAAATCCATTTTGTCCCTGGTACTCTGATATGGGATTCCAACCCACGAACTTTCGTAATCCGGACAACTGCTGTAACCACTGAGCTATCCAGGACCTAATAGGACTGACGAATTATTCTAGCATTTTTTACTTTTTCGCTTATGCAGAGCCTAACATACGCCCTGTATTCATCAAGCAATCCATCCAAACAGCCGCAATAAATATTTTTAAGCTTTCGAAAAAAGATGAAAATTTGTTAAAAAATATATATATAAAAGTTTATGCTCAGTGGTTAGAGCAGTCGCCCGGATTGCGAAAGGTTCGAATCCCATCTCAAAGTACCAGGGACAAAGTGATTTTTTAACCATTTTTCATTAAGAATATTTTCTAGTATAGCACTGTCAATGCAAAATTGATGAAACATAATAAATATTATCTTTTTTCACCAAACCTCAATCATTTTGGATCTGTCTCGTAGGTGTCAGAAATCAAACTGCAACCATATTTTCAAGGAGCAGCGGCAAATTATCAAGATGATATAGCTTTGGTGATGCTCGCCAAGTCTGTGGAGTTTAATGCGTTCATCAGACCTGTGTGTTTGGATTTCGATGTAGCTTTAGAGAAGAAACAGCTTAGCGATGGTACTCGAGGGATAGTAAGTATAATAAGCAAAGCCAGTGTAGTATTGCATGTGCCACTCCCTGGACCATATTCCCCTAAACTATGGATAAATGAGTGACCCTGAATGGCAGAACCGCCACTCTATAATTAATTTGTGCTCCCTTCTCTAAGACAGCAACAGCTAAGAGGCGAGTCCCAAGATTGGTAAGTTTTGGTAGGTAGATGAGTCGGACCCCAAACAATTTTGGGAACCATTGCTATAGACTAAAATAAGGTGCAAAAATTCATATACCTACTAAAAAAAATATCAAATCAGGTAGCTGGATGGGGTATACAACGATCGGGTGAAATCAGTGAGTCTGTAACGTCGATCAATGTGCCGCTGCTGCCCATAGAACAATGTATCAGCGAAGCACCACCAGACTTCAGGCCATTCATTACTGGTGATAAAATATGCATTGGATCCAAAAATGGTCAGTATTGTTGTGTAGACAGCATAAAATTACTTATTTTTATACAAATTTAAAACACTCGTTAGACTTTTGGTAGCTCCTCTGATTCAGTGAGATTTCACTCAAAACATTATTATTAACTGTTGAGGAAGCCCAGCGGGCGGTTGGTAGTTTTAATAGTTTCTAGTTTTCATCCTTTTATATTAACTAATGTCTACAGTTCATGTAAGGTTAAGAGGAAGACAATTTATTTATAAAGAGCACACCATACTTCCTTTCTGCACTGACTACTAACAAAATATGACAAAATAAGGTTTGCCCATTGAATACACAATCTAAACATGCTTTTTCAAACTCAAAGCGAAGCTAAACATCGATTATTTGCATTTTCAAAATAGTAAGAAAAGTATAATTGAAGCTCTCTAAAATAAATTTGACCTATGATGATACAGAGAAATTAGTTATTTATTTTTAGGAAGATTTACAAACAAATATTAACATTAGTTTGCATAGCAAATAGGTTGTAAATTAATGTTAATAATCTAGAGGACATGTAAAAAGGAAACAATATATTTAACAATCCTGTAATAAAACAAACACATTTATTGATCACTGCTCTCATCAAATAGCAATGACATATCATCAAAGAAACTGAGACTCAATAATTTTTAGAACAAAACAAGTCAACATCGTAGGGTAGTCAATTAAATGTGTTGCATGCTCGTATCACAAAAGTGTTCGTTCTGTAACATGCTCTGGCTGTCAAAGGACATAAAAGTGGCCTGTGTCTTAATCAAAGTTCGAAGGTTAAAGTTTAATAGAGATAGTAATTCAGAACAGTCGGCCCTTCCGCCGGCGATATTAGAAAGGTAACAGACAACACTAATCTTTCTTCTCGTTTATAATGGTAGAAAATTATACTTTTTGCATCTATATTTGTAGTCATAGGATTACTGCTGAGACTTAAAGTTGTTAAGAAATCTTTTCTTGATTCTTTCAATCAGGGTTATGCAGGTTTGATATTAAGATGAGTATTCCAGATGGCTACGCACATAAGTGGAGTATAAGATTTTAAGCGTTTTTCCAGTGCTCGAGAAGCCTTTTTTTTAACTATATATTCTATATTTCTATCAAATAATAATTTCGAGTCGTGTATTACGCCGAGATCTTTAATTTCGTTAACTTTAGACAATTTATTATGGTTTTAGAGCATATTTGTAATTAATAGTGTTATAGCAGAGAGTGAAAGATATATACCAACATTATGTAACATTAAGTTCTAATTTGTTTTGCATGCAGTACCTTTCGAATCTACATAAATCAGCCTGAAGATCTCCAGCATCAATCCAAGTCGTTACGTATAATCTTAAAAATCTATCTAGCGACTTCTATACTGACTGTGCTAAAAGTTGTTAGATGTCATAGATTCACAGATAAAAGACTTTAGTACGTAGTAATAATACTCGTAGCTTATGTTTATGTACTGTATCCCCAAATAACTTGAAAAAAAGGAACACTTCAAGTTATTCGCATAATTTATATTGACCAATACAAGCATGATACAAAAGGTGGACTTAATGCTAATAGCATAGCGCTACAGAACATTAAAAATTGTATATAATAAATAAATGTAATGTTTTTCAGTTCCCACTGGTGTTTGTCAAGGCTTTGGTGGATCTGGACTGGCGTTCCCCGACAAGGATATGGGTTCAGTTCGTTACTACCTTCGCGGATTGGTCTCCGGAGCGCCGTATACTAATAATTGTGCAAATAATTTCAATACAATCACTCAAATTTCCAAACACGAAGTATTTATAAAGGGCGTGCTTTAGTATTAAAAAAATCGTTTATTGTTGGTAGGCTTACTTTATAAAAGTATAGTAGTACCTAGTATAGTTTTATTTTAAAACACACTTAAGAATAAATTATTTCATTAATAAATATGTCAATAACATTTTGAAGTGCAGAGGAGACTCAAGATAAATTTTGCTATGCAACCTTAGAAACGGTACAATGGCAAACTGGCGTTAAAAGTAAATGAGGCGAAATGAAAATCTTGCTTACAAAGTTACATATTAACCATTTATATTATTCATTACCCATAATAATAAATTAGATTTAATTCTGAGACGAGATCAGGATTATTCTGTTATAAAAAAAACCTAGAACTCGACATCAAGCGCTGACATGTCATAGAGCTTTACCCTTCAATTGAATAAAAATTTTAATATCTTTTGAAGTAGGTTTTATTTTGATTGAACCTGCAGGCCAATTCTGCTTATGTTTACGTTATAATAGCATCTTAATAGAATTTTAACTTTTAGCAGCATCTTTAATTTTTAGGGTTCCGTACCCAAAGGGTAAAACAACAACCCTATTACGAAGAGCGGACTATTTCTGGTACAGATATATATTATATCTAAAAGAAATAGTCCATTACAAAGGTTTCAAACATTCTCGTTTTAAATTTTTTTTTTTGAATTTTTTTATTACTAAGATTTCGCTGTCTGTCACCAGGATGTTTCTTGAGAACCGTAACAATTTGGCAGTTGAATTTTTCACAGATGATGTATTAATGTTGCTACTTCATCAACAATAGAATAAAATCAAAATTTAAGAGGTCTCTCATACAAAAAAAAAACGTGATATGTTGCTGTTACCAGGCTATATCTCATGTACCGTGATAGTAAGATAGTTTAGATTTTCACAGATAATGTAGTTCTGTTGCCGCTATAACAACAAATACTAAAAACCTATGAAATAATGAAAGAGGCCTGCTACTGAGTGGAGCAATTAGGAGCTCGACCAAATATGTAAGGCCGGGCATTAAAAAAAAACTAAAAACAGAATAATGTAAATATTAAATGGGTCTTCCATACAACAAACGTGATGTTTTTGTTCTTTTTCCGTACGGAACCCTTCGTGTATGAGTTGACGCGCACTTAGCCGATTTTTTAGGCTAAGCATTTTGCAAATAAAACACATGAATTAATTTAAAAAAAAATGCTATTTATAGTATTTCATGTTGTTTAAACAAAAAATAAAATATTGTTCAATTACTATAGTAGGCACAAATAATGAAAGCCTCTGTAGATTTTATAATTATTTAACTTGTAAATATTAAAATTAGTTTGGAAAGCGAAAAAAAGCGTATAATTCTTTTTTTAACATAACCCTAAGGTTATGGAAACATAGGTAGGTACTCTAACCAACTACTAATAAAAGAAAACAATATAAGTATATTCTACTGTTAAACAGCATGCAATAACTTAAACTATTTGTAGATACTTAGTTATTAACCATTATATGTCATTCAAATAAAAAGTTCCAAATAACATATTTTATTTAAAAACTCGTTAACTGAATAAAAACATTTATTAACTAACTATGCTTTCAAACATGATTTATAAACTTTATTCTCTTATATATAATAGTCGGTTCTAATAAATGGCAAATGTAATTTATTAGGAAATGTTGTGTGAAAATCACAAATATATTTTTGGTTTGGTTTTAAGTCTAACAAACAAACGTACCAGAAATACTGCCAAAATCAAAACGAAAGTTACTTTATTTGATAAAAATCGGAAAAAATAAAGACTACAAACATAACAAAAATCAAATTCCCGTTTTAAAAAGGACAGTAGCGTCATCTTGTGCTCAGTAAAAGCAGCTAAAGGTAAAGTTTTCATGTACTTAACCAATATAACATATGCATTTAATATTAGCGACAAAGATTGTAACGATTTAAATTATTCAAAAGTCAATAATCTACCTCTACCTCAATAAATTCAATAATCTACTCAACGGACAGACAAAAACAAAAACTTTAACAACAAATCAGCAATTCCGATGAAATAGATTGAGACCACAATA